CCCAAGGACCAGCCCATAGATTTCTACTGCTCTCCTCTCCTCTGCCATCTGTGCATCAGGCACTGGACCCAGCTGTTCCTCCTCTTCCTCATCAGCCACCTCCAGACCTGGGGGCTGTTGACACTCCATCTGAGGGCTGACAAACAGTCCAGGCTCTGTCCCCCCTCCCCCCATGCCAGCTCCATTCCCTCTCCCCCCTCGGAGCTCTCAGGTGCCCTGACTCCCATCCCTCTTCCCTCTTGATTCGGCTGCCAGGGGAGCTGGTGTCCGACGGGTCACAACACCCATCCCGTTGTGAGCCTGGGGTCTTTTGGACTGGGGAGGCGAGCAGGGAAGGGAGACCCTGAGCTGCTTCCGATGTCACTCTCGCGTCTCTGTTTTTTCACAGTACATTAAAACAACAACCCACAGCTGAGTGAAGTTGTTGGTCTTCAAAGGGGCTTGTGTTGAGAAGAAACCGAGCCCTTGTTGTGTTTCTTTGGCGCATCGTAGCCCCCGTGTAAAACATCAGGCATTAAAAAGTTATTTAATTAAAAACTTATCCTTGCTTTTTTCTTCTTCTTCTTCGTAAGATGACTTCCCTGTAACTCCTTGAAGTGAAAAGGGGGCGCCTACACAGAGAGCCCTCGGCGTAACGATGGCTCCTTAAGTGACCAAAGTTACAGCAGCACTGAAAAAAGTGACCCACGACCATTTTTACACGCTGTTGTAACATTCCCCAAATGTCACCAGATCAGAATGTGGACGACTGACTCGTATTTACGACTGTTGCAACGTCCCTGGGGGGGCAGGGCGGTGTCACGCGATTTTGCGGCCTTCTGACAAGCGAAGTCAACGGGGAAGTAGGATTCGCTTAACAATTGTGTTATTAACAACGGGAGTGATTTGCTGACCAACTCTGGCCAGGGAGGTCGTTAAGACGGGGCGGAACTCATTTAACTGTCTCGCTTAGCAACATAAATTTTGGGCTCGAATGTGGTCGTAAGTCACAGAGTACTCGTACTCAGGGCCGCTCCTTCTAGTTCCTCCCCTACCCTGAGCTATCCTGCCCTGTAGGCCGGGCTGGGACTCTCAAAAGTCCTCCAGAGAGCTTCCATGTCTGAAGAGGAACCAGGATCTCCTCAACCCATCGGCCACCACACCGGATTTCTCACACTTGGAAACTTTGAAGACTTGTGGACTACAACTCCCAGAGTTCCCTGCTAGAGGTGGGGAGAAGATTATGGGCAGCTTCAAATGACCGGCAACTCTCAAGACCGCTGGAACTTCTGCCTGTGGTTCCACCAACAAATTTATGGGCAAGCCAAGGAAGACGGTGTTGAACAATGGCGGGTGTCAGGCCTGCATTTATATTCCTTTTAGAATTTTGGCCTGCCACACTTTCTCTTACTTCATTATGCTGTTTCAT